CCTTTTTCTTTGTCCATAGTGGACAGAGTTCACAGACCGAACCTTGGCCCGTTGCCCTCACTGCAGGAAAGTGTAAGTGATTAAAGAGTGGCATTGTTGAGCTGGTAATGGGGTAACATGTAGAGTGAAAACTACAGGACCCTTACAAGCATCCGTTTCTGTTTGCCTCCCCACAGGTCATCTATTGGGCGCAGATATCCACGAAAGAGATGTATCTGCTGCTTCTTGCTTGGCTTATTCTTGGCAGTCACTGCCACTGGCCTTGCTGTGAGTAACCTTGATCAAACCCCTTTCATTCCTCAGCCTCATCTCCATAGACTAAGAGTTGGGAAATGACTACCGCCCAAAAACGAAACTGAGGGGTAGGTTTTTTGTTTTGTCTCGTTTTAATGTGCAGATGAGCTGAGGTAACTGATAAATAGTCTTCAATGTTACTATAGGAGTAAAAACCAGCCATTTTCTTTATGTAGAGGAGAGGACAATGGAGGAAGTGGCTTAAATGAAGAGTTGATATTAGGAAACCTGGCTCAATTATCAGACATTAAGAAAATCTGACAGGGGCCGGCCTGGTGGCAGAGTGGTTAGGTTTGCGTGGGCTGCTTCGCTGGCTCCAGGTTTGCAGGTTCAGATCCTGGGCGCAGAGCTAACACTGCTCAAGTCGGGCTACACTGGTGGCATCCCACATAAGGTGGAGGATTGGCACAGATGTTAGCTCACCGACACTATTCCTCAAGCAAAAAGAGGAAGATTGGCAACAGGAGTTAGTTCAGAGCCAATCTTCCTCACAAAAAAAAAGAATGACAGATGTCTAGGATTGTATGAGTTATTCCCTGCCTAGGGGAAGGGAGCTGAACAACTGGCCCTTTAAAAAGTTCCCTGAAGGTGGCTACACGTGGATAGGGAACAGACTGAAGCTTGAGTTCTCTGTTACTAGGGCTCCTAGAAAGTCATGAGATCAACAGTAACCCCATCTTTTTCTTCTTCTTCAGTTTGGAACATGGAAGCATGCACGGCGATATGGAGGCATCTATGCAGCCTGGGCATTTGTCATCCTGTTGGCTGTGCTGTGTTTGGGCCGGGCCCTCTATTGGGCCTGTATGAAGGTCAGCCACCCTGTCCAGAACTTCTCCTGAGCCCCGTGACGACCCACAGACTGTGCCTGGCCCCTCCCTGGTGGGGACAGTGACACTACAAAGGGAGCCATGGTAAAAGGCTCCCCGGGCTTCTATAAGGGGAGCCGAGCAGCTGCCTTCCTTTTCCCTGGGGAGAGGTAGGAAGGAACCTGGCCCTCACCTAGGTTTGGAAGGGTAGAAAAGACCACTGCTGGCCATCTGCTTTCCCCCAAGGGTTGCTCTGTTTAAGGTGAAATAGGTGAAGTGTTGGCCCTAAACCTGGGTCCTAAGAGATGGTTCTAGCCTTGTCCTTCCTATATGCTCCCTGAGAGCCATTCCTGTCCCTTACACATTCCAGGGCAGGGTGGGGGTGGGTAGCCCTGGGGGTTTCCCTCCCTCTTGTGCACCCTTAGGACCTTGCTGCTGCTATTGCACTTCACCAGGGGCTGGCTCTGGCCTCTACCCTCAGTCTCCTCTCCCCCCAATTCTGTGTCCTTTGGGGGTGGGGTCAGCTGCTGCTCTGTACAGAACCACAGGAACTGATGTGTATATAACTATTTAATGTGGGGTACGTTCCCCTAGTCCTCTATTTCCCTTAATTCCTCCTTCCAACCTTACCTCAGTTGCAGTATTTAACTGGGCTGGGTAGGGTTGTTCTGTCTTGGGGAGGTTAGGGACTCATCCTGTGCTTGTAAATAAATAAGGTTATGACTATCCTTTTCCAGTTGTTAAATCTTATATGTACGAAAAGATGAGAATTTGTAGCCCCACAAAGGGGTAGAATACAAAGACAGCAAAGCAAACTATGGCTCTTTATTTTCACATGGACAGTTCAAGGTCATCAGTAGCTTTTGTTTAATGTAAAAAAAAAAAGAAAGAGAGCAAGCGGGAGAGAGAACTCACTGAAAAAAAACCCCAACACCTCAGGCTTAAAGGAAACCTAAGTCTGTCACTAGGAGCCTCGTTAAAGGATTTTCAGAAAGGAAATACAGTGCAGATTTTAAAGAAGTTTGGGAGGGGGGCAAGAACTTTGCTAGTCTGGGGGGCTTATTTCCCAGGCTCGAATTGATGTGGGGGAGGTGTCACAGTGCTAGGTATAAGGTGATGGGACAGTGGTCACTGCCCAGGGCCTTGGAACGGATCTTGCTATCACACAATGCAGGTAACAGAGAGTGAGACAACAAAAAGTAATCAAGGCGCCACCCCACATTTTTGGAGCGTGCATTCATCATGTAGGTCCAAAAGGTGTAGGCATAGGCTGTATTGGGGTAGAGGTGCCGGAAACTGTCAGCCAGTGGCACAGCCTGCAGCAATTCCCCAAAGCCTTGGCGCTCTTGTGGAGTGAAGCCAGCATTCTTTTTGTTTCCCTTGGGGTTGCGAAGGTCAATTTCTTCATGAGCCACATTGAGATCCCCACATAGCACAAGGGGCTTGCGGGAAGCCAAGCCCTTCAGGAACTTGCGAAAGGCTTCGTCCCAGCGCTGCCGGTACTCCAAGCGCACCAGACCCCGGCCTGCATTAGGTACATAGGCTGTTACCAGCACAAATGCATCAAATTCAGCCACAATCACTCGGCCTTCCTGATCGTGTTCCTCCTCGCCTACAGAAATGATGAAACAATCAGCATAAAGAGGTATAAAAGAGAAAACAGAATAAAGGAGTCAAGAATTGGGGCTGAGTGTGATATTTGCAACTGGTTTGGAAGAGCTCAGGCATTAAGAATCAATAGGGTCTCACCAATGCCATAGGAGACTTTGAGTGGGCACTGGCGGGAGAGCAGGCCCACACCACTGTACCCTTCCTTGTCTGAAGGTGCTGACCAGTACTGATGGGATAGTCCAGGCAGCTCTTGAAGTTCAGCTGGTAATTTGTTCTCTGAACACTTGGTTTCTTGGAGGCACAGGATATCTGGGGCTTCTTCCTTTACCCACTGAGTGAAATGAAAGGTAGAAAAAGCATTATCAAGTCAGCAGACATTTACTGAAGTTATGTTCTAAATAATAGAGATACACAGGTGAGACACTGCTTGTGCAGAAGTTAACAGTCTAGCAGCACAATATTTAAACAATTATAAATTATGTAACTGGCAACTGATGGAGATAGGAAGAGTCTTACAAGCAACACTGAGATGTGTTTTCCAACAAGCAATGGATAGCCAGCTAAGATTTTTAAGCAGTAGTTAATTAAATGGAGGATAAGCTGGAGATAAAATGGAGCAAGTCCAGTAACAAGGTTTTTTCAACATGCTGGAGAAGAGATGAGGACATTAAAACAATGCCAAGAGAATTGAAGGAACGGACGTTTAAGAACTATAAGTTGGGGGCTGGCCTGGTAGCGCTGCAGTTAAGTTTGCATGTTCCGCTTCAGCAGCCCAGGGTTCGCTGGTGCGGATCCTGGGTGCGGACATGGCACCGCTTGGCAAGCCATGCTGTGGTAGGAGTCCCACATATAAAGTAGAGGAAGATGGGCATGGATGTTAGCTCAGGACCAGTCTTCCTCAGCAAAAAGTGGAGGATTGGCAGTAGTTCGCTCAGGGCTAATCTTCCTCAAAAAAATTTTTTTTAAAAACTATAACTGGAATGAGATAGTGAAGCCCCTCCTTGTACCTCTCCCACAAGAAAACTACTGACAAGGGAAAAATAAAACCTACATGGTGGGGACTAAAATGAAAAAGGTGATTAAACCCCTAGATCATTCAATACTAAAGAATGTCTCTTCCCTTCCTTGAATTGCACTCACATCTAAACCTTTCTTCTTAATCCAGGCTCGAAGCCCATCCACATTCCAGGAGCAGATCTTGAGTGTGGCTGATTTGCCACTGGGTGAGGTTTTCTGGTCTGGGGGGTCCTCATACAGGACTGGTCCCTCTCCTGCTGCCTCTTTTTCGTTTTTCTTTGTTCCTGTCTTACTCTTCTTGGCCTCTGGCTCTATAAAATGAATAATACATAGTGATGAAAGTTTGGCGGTTTCTAACTCTGATGGAGAGTTAACTACAGACCCACAGAGAGGGTGCAGTTTCGGCGACTTTTTCACAAACTCTGCAAAAATGAATTTAGTCTGTCCTACTTCCCGTTCATCGAACGAATCAGAAACACTCCATCGCAGCCTCTAGGGAGACGGGCTCATATCATTCTCTTACCAGTCTTGGGCCCTTCTCCGTCTTCTGCCACCGCTCCCTTTTTCCCACGCTTCGGCATCACTGTAACGAACGCCCTTCGGCACCCGTTCCAGGTCGCCCACCGAATCAGTATTTTTATCGCGTTGCCTATAGACGCAAAAAAATCATGAAACCAGCTGAGGCCGAGGAAAAGACTCCTCCCTCGGGCGCCCTAGCGCCAGGTCCCGCCTTTCAAACCACATTATCTCAGAATCCTTTCCCCGCCTCCGTGCACCAAAGGCCCTTGAGCCCCTCACCCACAAGACTAGAGCATTTCATAGTGCTTTGTACCCTCCTCGCGAGATCTGCCCTCTGGCCAATCGAGGGCCTTAATTAAGGGTCCCGATTTAGGCTGGCTGATCAGACGTCCAGATAAGCCCCTGTGACAAGCAAAATAACAGCAACGCCGTTTCTGACCTGCCCGCGTCCCAGAGTGGCTCCTCCTCACCAGAGCACAAAGAATGCAGCACGTTGTGGCCCCACGTGGGTAACTGGGGTGGTCACGTGATCTGAGGTACGTATCGCGTGGCGGAGGAATGCTGGTGATTGGTTTGTCTGGCACCATATGACGGAGAAGCCTGGCCTTCCCGCCCTTCTCCACTGTCTCCAGGAGACTGAAGGACCTAACCCTTCGTGCTCGGGCTGTTTATCGGTGTGCCAGATGCTCGACTCATTCTGCCGCCCTGACCGAAGATCCCAGCGCTGTGCAAGAGGGGAAAAAATCAATGGAGAAGCCTGGGATGGGCTACGGGAGAGAGGCAGAGGAACGGATGGGGATGTAAGGAGCAGATGCCGGCTCAGCGTCCCTGGCAGTTAGGAGGACAGGTCCTTGAAGGGGCCTTGACGGGTCGCTGTGACACGGGGGCGGGGACAGCGGGTGCGCCACCCGCCGGAGTACTTTGGCGTCTGTCCGTGTTCGCGCTGCTGCCTAACAGCTGCATGCTCGTCCTCTTCTTTTGCGCCCCGGAATCAGCAACCCATCAGGGACTGGTGAGGGCTCCACGGCTCGGTTGGCAGCTAGGAGCCCTGCCGGCATTTTCTCCCAGGCTCGGCCATGCCGGCGGTGCTGGGTTTTGAAGGCAGCGCCAACAAGATTGGCGTGGGAGTGGTGCGGGATGGCACGGTGCTGGCGAACCCGCGGCGGACTTACGTCACGCCTCCGGGCACAGGTGCGTGAGTAGAGGCCTTGTAGTTTGCGGCGCGCTTTTCTGCAAAGCATAACCTTCCATCTTCCTAAACACTAGTGAAGTAGGGCATGGAGCGCATTATCCCTTCATGGAGTTTTTGATCTGAGTCTCTGAGATTATGTGACAGTATTAACGTGATGGATAGAAGAATCACATGCACTTGGAGCTGGATATTTTGGGTTCCTTCAGCTTTTACTGAGTGCCTTGTAGGTGCTAATAATTAGCTGGCTGCTGGATACAAAAATAGATGTTATGAGCCTGCTGGAGGATCTGACATATAGACAGAACTTTACAATATGATAAGAAGTATAACATAGACACGATCAAAATATTCTCAAATGAGGGGCCGGCCCAGTGGCGCAGCGGTTAAGTGCCCACGTTCTGCTTCTCCGTGGCGGGAGGCGGGGGGGTGGGGGGGTGTTTGCCGGTTCCGATCTAGGGTGCAGACATGGCACCAGTTGACAAAAGCCATGCTGTGGTAGGTGTCCCACATAGAAAGTAGAGGAAGATGGGCACAGATGTGAGCTCAGGGCCAGTCTTCCTCAGCAAAAAGAGGAGGATTGGCAGCAGATGTTAGCTCAGGGCTAATCTTCCTCAAAAAAGAAGATTCTAAAATGAGAAGGAGTTTAGACTCCCAGCTTAGGTGTCAGACAGAACTGGCTGGCTTTGAAGAGTTCATGTTCAGTATTTGTTTTTGGACTTCTGTTCTTTACTCTTAAAATGGAAATAATAATATAGTACCTGCATCATTGGGTCTTGAGAATTACATAAAACTACCAGACACGTTACAACTTTTAATAAGTGTTATTTATAAGTTATTATGTTACATCTTGCTTATCTTCCCCCCAAACACCTGCATACATAGGAGAGGGCAACTGACTTGCATATACCTGAAAGCCTCTGTCAACAGTTGGTGTTGTGACAGGTTACTCACTAACAATGCATGTGTATGTTTAGCACTCACTCTTCTAGGCATTTTGGTACCAGGAATACAAAGATAAATAAAATAGCCAGTGCTTTGAGATGCTCCTGGTTAAAACTTGGGAAACCACACATAATTGTAATGCTGTAATGGTTATATGTTATATACAATGATGCGATCGTGCACAGGGTTCTGTAGGGTCATAGAGAAGATCACTGAAGGCCGTGAGATAGATATCACTTGAATTGAGTCCTGAAGGCTGAGTAGGAGTTGGGTATGAAGAAGGGCGTTTCTGAGAGCTGTTCAGCATAGTTGAATAGGCTGGAAGTATATCTGGAAACCTGGAAGACAGGGTGCTTGAGGAGAGTGAAAGGGACTCTTCCTACACTATTCAAATGCCTGTTTTTTACTTCTACCTACCTTTGCTGTAGAAAAACCCTATGATCTCTGACCTGTGTCCATCTCCTAGGATTCCTTCCAGGTGATACTGCCAGGCACCACCGAGCTGTTATCCTGGACCTACTGGAGGAGGCACTTACAGAGGCTGGATTAACTTCCCAGGATATTGATTGCATTGCCTACACCAAAGGTATGGCTAGGAGCATGGTCGACAAGGGAAGAATATACTGGCATACCCCAGAGATATTGTGGGTTTGGTTCCAGACTACTGCAATAAAGCTAATATCACAATACAGCAAGTCACACGAGTTTTTTCATTTCCCAATACATATGAAAGTTATATTTGCACTGTACTGTAGCCTGTTAAGTGTGCAATAGCATTATGTCTGAAATAAACAATGTACGTACCTTAATTAAAAAATGCTAACCTTCATCTGAACGTTCAGCGAGTCATAATCTCTTTGCTGGTGGAGGGTCTTGCCTTGGTGTTGATGACTGCTGACTGATGACCGTGGAGGCTGCTGAAGGTTAGGGTGACTGGGGCAATTTCTTTTTTAGGGAGGGGGGTGCTGGGAGGCTGGGGCCCAAGACAAGCCCTGGCCAAGTGCTCAACTTGGTCTCCCTGGTTCTGCCCCTTCTCTCTGAGGGGCAGTTTCTTAAGATGAGACAACGATGAAGTTTGCCGCAGAGATTGACTTCTTTTCACAGGTGATTTCTCTGTCGCATGCAATGCTATTTGATAGCATTTTACCCACAGAAGAACTTCTTTCAGAATTGGAGCCAATCCTCTCGAACCCTGCTGCTACTTTATCAACTAAGTCTGTCCAATATTCTAAATCCTTTGTTGTCATTTCAACAATTATCACAGTGTCTTCAGCAGGAGTAGATTCTATCTCAAGAAACCACTTTCTTTGTTGATCCATAAGAAGCAACTCCTCCTCTGTTACAGTTTTATCATGAGAGTGGAGCAATTGAGTCACATTTTCAGGCCCTATTTCTAATACTAGTTCTCTTGCTGTTTCTACCACGTCTGTAGTTACTTCCTCCACTGAAGTCTTAAATGCCTCAAAGTCATCAATGAGGTTTGGAATCAACTTCTTCCAAGCTCCTGTTGATGTTGATATTTTGACCTCTTCCCATCACTCACTAATGTTCTTAATGACATCTAGAATGGTGAATCCTTTCCAGAAGGTTTTCAGTTTACTTTGCCCAGATCCATTAGAGGACACTATCTATGGCAGCTATAGCCTTACGAAATATATTTCTTAATAACACTTGAGAGTTGAAATTACTCCTTGATCCCTGGGCCGCAGAACAGATATTGTGTTACTAGGCATGAAAATAACATTAATCTCATTGTGCATCTCTAACCTAACAGAGCTCTGGGGTGACCAGAGCACTGATAGGTGTATTGCCAGTGAGCAGTAATATTTTGAAAGGAATCTTTTTTTTCTCAGCAGTAGGTCTCAACAGTAGGCTTAAAATTGCCAGTAAACCATGTTGTGATCCAGGCTTTGGATCATCCAGGCTTTGTTGTTCCATTTATAGAGCACAAGCAGAGTAGATTTAGCATAATTCTTAAGGACCCTAGGATTTTTGGAATTTCAATGAGCCTTGGCTTCAACTTAAATTCCTCAGCTGCATTAGCTTCTAACAAGAGAGTCAGCCTGTCCTTTGAAGCTTTGAAGCCAGGCATTGACTTCTCTCTATGCTATGAAAGTCCTAGATGGCATCTACTTCCAACAGAAGGCTGTTTCATTTACATGGAGAATCTGTTGTTTAGTGTAGTCACCGTCATCAACTGTCTTAGCTAGATCTTCTAGAGAACTTGCTGCAGCTTCTACATCAGCGCTTGCTGCTTCACCTTGCACTTTTATGTTATGGAGATGCCTTCTTTCCTTCAACCTCTGCTAGCTTCACACTTTTCTTCTGCAGCTTCCTCACCTCTCTCTGCCTTCATAGAATTGAAGAGAGGTAGGGCCTTGCTCTGGATTAGGCTTTGGCTTAAGGGTGTGTTGTGGCTGGTTTGATCTTCTATCCAGACCACTAAAACTTTCTCCATATCAGCAATAAGGCTGTTTTGCTTTCTTATCGTTCATGTGTTCACTAGAGTAGCACTTTTGATTTTCTTTAAGAACTTTTCCTTTGCATTCACAACTTGGCTAACTGTGTGGCACAAGAGGCCTAGCTTTTGGCTTATCTCAGCTTTTAACATGCCTTCCTCACTAAGCTTAATCATTTCTAGCTTTTGATTTAAAGTGAGAGATGTGCGACTCTTCCTTTCACTTGAACGCTTAGAGGCCGTTGTAGGGCTATTAATTGGCCTAATTTCAATATTGTGTCTCAGGGAATAGGGAGGCCCGAGGAGAGAGAGACGGGGAAATAGCCAGTTGGTGGAGCAGTCCAAACACACACAACATTTATTAATTAAGCTCACCCTCTTATATGGGTGCAGTTTGTGGCGCCCCAAAATAATTAGAATAGTAACATCAAAGATCACTGATCACAGGTCATTATAACAAATATAATAATAATGAAAAAGTTTGAAATATTGCAAGAATTACCAAGATGTGACACAGACACATGAAGTGAGCAAATGCTGTTGGAAAAGTGGTGCCAGTAGACTTGCTTGACACAGGGTTGCCACAGACCTTCAATTTGTAAAAAATGCAGTATCTGCAAAGTGCAGTAAAATGACATATGCCTGTAACCAGAGTTTGGCCAGGTCAAAATAGCCTGCAACTCACCTTTGCTCCCACCACTACCCCTAACCCACCTCTCACATCCTTTACTTCCCCCAGCTCTGGTTTTCCCAATTTCTATAGGATTCTAACTCCCATTTCAATCCCCCTAGGACCCGGCATGGGTGCCCCACTGGCTTCTGTGGCTGTTGTGGCCCGTACTGTGGCCCAACTGTGGAATAAGCCATTGCTGGGTGTGAACCACTGTATAGGCCACATTGAGATGGGCCGCCTCATTACTGGAGCCACCAGCCCAACTGTGCTGTATGTCAGCGGAGGAAATACACAGGTATTTACAGTACTCCACCACTGCTTCTTAATTTCTAAGGCACTATACCAGCAACTTTCATGTTCTGGCTGAGTGGCAGGAACTGCAAGAATGAAGTTGGGCTCAAATGAACCTAAAATGTTGTGCACTGGGAAACCAACAATAAAGTTCCTAACATTGCAGATTTGGGCAGGATGATCAGAACATTAGATGACTTTTATATATGTGGTTATAAAGATTAGGAATTTCCAATTTACAAAAGGAAAGAATGGTAAGGATTGAAGCCTTCAAAATAGTGAAAGGATTTTCACTTTCATTATTTTGAAGCTTATTTCTTCTATGAATCTTAGCAATTAAAACTAAGGGTCACTATCCGATTTGTTTCTGTAGGATAACTACATGTTTTGTTTTACGTTACTGGTAGCAAATATACAGAAGTTGTTATTCTGAGAGGGTGAATACATAAATAACTTTAAAAAACGCTGTAAATTGTAGGTGGTATTTTAAGTTTATAGACAAAGCCAGAGTTGTTTGGGATACCTTACAAGACCTTTTTAGGTTGGGATTGGAGAACTCCAGCCCTCCTGTTCCTACAGAACACCTGATGGGGTTAGTATCAGACATAGTCATTGTCCCCAGCTTATGAAAGGGTTGTGTTCTAAAACTTCATCTGGTGAAATAGTTATTAAAGATGAAGCACACATTCTGTGGAAATGATTGGGAGCTTTAGCAGGTAGAGGGCAAGTAGCTGGTTGAGGCCTGAAGGATGACATACAAGGGCGGGGACTTGGCGTGTGATGAACCGTGGCAGAGGCTTACGAGAGTTCACTCGGAAGAGCAGTGACAGAGGCCTCTCTTCTCTTCCTCTTCCCTTTTGAAGCCCGTTTAGGTGTAAAAAACAGGGAAGATGATTAGGTAGAGAGGAGTAGATAACAGAAGTAGAAGGGCAGGAATTTTTCCTTCCCCTTTTGTTGCCAGCCTTTGACAGCAGAGTAAGAACTATATCAGAAGGGAAGGAAATCCCCAGCAGCACCAAGAGGGGAAGGGGACTTCTTTGGGTCCCTAGGAAGCACTCACTGTCGGAAGTATGGAACGTATCTGTCAGTGGGTGGTAACTATTCTCTGTGCCAGAAGTTGATCACACATGAAGATGAGCATAAGTTGATTGCCAGTGCTGAGTTGAAGGGGCTATTAGTCCGACCAAGTATGAGATGTCTGAGTTTTTCAACTCTGCCTCTTCTCTTGTTTCCAAATACCACTGCCCTGGTTGGATAATCTAGGACGACTCTGGTTCCCTGCCCCCAAGCAAGAAAGCCTGTTCCCTATTCCATACTGTCAAGACTGCTTTTAAGGGATAGATCAGGAACCTCAAAGCTAAAACAGTGTATTTGAAATGACAGTTTGTTGGGGCCAGCCCCATGGCTGAGTGGTTAAGTTCACGCGCTCCACTTCAGCAGCCCAGGGTTTCGCCACTTCAAATCCTGGGCGCGGACATGGCACCGCTCATCAAGCCATGCTGAGGCAGCATCCCACATGCCACAACTAGAAGGAGCCACAACTAAAAATACACAACTATGTACCGGGGGGCTTTGGGGAGAAAAAAGAAAAATAAAATCTTTAAAAAAAAAAAAAGAAATGACAGTTTGCTTCTATCCTGACCTGGACTATCTTCTGTGTATTAGGAATCTGCTCTGGGAATCCTCAGGGTATATATGGGCTTCTCAGATAAGAACTATAAAAAATTACCCATTTAGGGTTTGGGAAAGTACTTTTTTCCATTTCTTATTGGAAGCTCTGGTGGCCATGTTGATCCTCTGCTATGTTCTTCCCCAAAGCCAAATGCTCCTCTTTACAGACTTGAGCTTTCATGGACATCCTCATCACCCTTAGGTGATTGCATATTCAGAACACCGTTACCGCATCTTTGGGGAAACCATCGATATTGCTGTGGGTAATTGTCTGGATCGTTTTGCTCGAGTGCTGAAGGTAAGCCATTGAGGCTGCAGAGAACATAAGATGTGGATAAATTTCTGGGAAGTCATGGACATGGAGGGGGAAAGTAGTAAATTAGCCTCTTGTGCTTCCTGGATATCTGACTTCATCCTCTCTTTCCTTCTGCTAGATTTCCAATGACCCAAGTCCAGGCTACAACATTGAACAGATGGCGAAGCGGTAAGGAGACACGAGGTGGAAAGAGGCTGACTGGTGGGGCTTCAGGGATTTCTCTGTATATATATTAACGAGGTTTGGGAGGGTGAACAGACAGCTGACTACAGGCTTAGTGCCTCATATACTCATCCCCATATAGAGGCAAGAAGCTAGTTGAGCTGCCATACACTGTAAAGGGGATGGACGTCTCATTCTCAGGGATCCTGTCTTTCATTGAGGTGAGTGTGGGAGAGGTGAGGAGGTGGGCACTTCCATGCTTTTTAATGAAGCATTTCTGTTTTGCTCACCATTGTATTTCCAGCATATGGCATAGTACTGGCCCATATTAGATGCCACATAAAGTCATTTAGCAAATATTTATTGAACATCTGTGTGCCTGGCAATAGTGATACAGCATAGAGCAAAATTAAAATCCCTACCCACATGGAGCTTGGGTTCTAATAGGGGGAGACAGATAAAGAAACAAAAAAAGAAAAAAGAAAGAGGAGAAAATAATCCAACATAAAGGATCAGTTGGTGGTAAGTGCTAAGCAGGGTAAGGGATGGGGGGGTGCGAGGGCAGGCATTCCTAATTAATGAATCTTGAATGAATGCTGCCCATTCTACAGCTTGGTGCCGGAGAAGGGCAAAGCGTGGTATGGGATGTGCTGGTCAATTGAATTGTGGTGAAACACAGTGATCCTCCAAGTGCGCTAATTTTTACTCTCATGTCATCGCCTAACCACTATTCACTGTTTTATCTGTTTGTTTTCCCCTTTAATTACAGGATGCAGCCCAGCGCATGCTGGCCACAGGCGAGTGTACTTCTGAGGATCTGTGTTTCTCCCTGCAGGTAATGGACTAAAAAGCTAGGACAGAAAGGTGGGGCTGGAGAGCTTTTATATAATGGATCCCCTCTGATATTTTCACCCTGTCTGTCCCTCACAGGAAACTGTGTTTGCAATGCTGGTAGAGATAACAGAGCGGGCCATGGCACATTGTGGCTCCCAGGAGGCCCTCATCGTGGGAGGTGTGGGGTGTATGTATCATTGAACAGTGCTCTTCTTTCCTATTGCTGGACACGTGCATCTTCTTCCTGATGTTCTAAATCTCTAAGGATTTGGGGAAATTATGAGTTTCTTTTCTTGTCCTGTTTCCCAATCCTTACCCCCTGGACCCCTACTTCCTTTTCCTAAGTAAATGTACATGAGGTGTACAGCTGGACCATGGAGAAATGGCTACAACTAAGCTAATCCTACCTCTACCTCTTCATAGGTAATATGAGGCTACAGGAAATGATGGAGACAATGTGCCAGGAACGTGGAGCCCGGCTTTTTGCCACAGATGAGAGGTAAAGGCCGTTTCCCTTTCTTGATTTTTTTTTTTCTCCAATTACTATAACTTTCCACTGTTAGATCCCAAATTTCATATCTCTTTCCCAGATTCTGCATTGACAATGGAGCCATGATAGCCCAGGCTGGCTGGGAGATGTTTCAGGCTGGACACAGGACCCCGCTCAGTGACTCTGGGATCACACAGAGGTGAGCACCCCGTGGAAGGGCTAGATAGGATTATATGGGAGGTAGGCAAAAATCAGCAAGGAAGAGGGTCCAGAATCCTGAGGGCAGAGAAGGATGGAAGATGCTCAGGGATAGCCGTCCACCAGATTTCTCCTATTATTTCACAGGTATCGGACAGATGAAGTAGAAGTGACCTGGAGAGACTAACAAGGTTAACAGGATCGAGGTGGATAGTGCCCTAAGTGGAGCCCAAGGACGCTGGGCCTTACTCTGTGTCCTGACATGGGAGTCCTAGCAAGGCTGTGGACTCCCCTCTCCCATCATTTGAACTCAAGATGACTCAGCAATAAAATATTTTGGGATTTGTATGTTGGTAATCAGCTTGTATTGTTCAGGAAAAATATAGAGTTGGCACTGGATAAATCCTTGTTGACGAGGTGACTGGATAAAGAGGCAGGGGTCAGAGCAGCATCCTGGCCGACTGCAGGTAGCCTTGGGGGCTACTGTTCTGCAGATAAGATTGATCTTAGGTACTATTCTAACATCCCCTTAATAATGGTATTATGATATGATAACTAATATTTTAGTATCAGGCCTTGTGCTAACTGCTTTACATTCATCACCTCATTTAAATTCTTTGAAGTAGGTACTCAGGACTTCCCTCAAAATAGCCTGGAGCCAGGTCTAATTTCACACTAATTGATAGCTCAAGAGTAAAACTGTTCCTTCTCCACACACTTACCCCTCACACGCTTGCATTGGCAGGTTGGAGCAGGGGCCCAGCCTCCCTCCCACCCACAACTAGCAGAACTAATCTCATCATGCCCTTATCTTGTTTACGTCAGTCACCACAAGAAGCCTGAACCACCTGCCCCCTCTCATCTTTTACACTCTAATAACCATTGCTCTCCACCCACTTTTTTGTCCCCATCCACCTCCCTCTTCCAGCTTCTGAAATTCTTTGCTGTCTGAACTAATAGCCAGTCATTAGCAAAATTCTCTATATCCTCAACCTCTTCTCTGAATGTTCTCTCTACATTCCTACTCTGAGCCCTTGTTTTCCCTGAGGACGCTGCTTCTCCTGCCCCCTCTAGTGGTAGTGGTTTCTCTCGTACTTATTGTACCACTGGGCCTGGAGGCAGTTTCCTCATTATTTTCAAACTGTTCTCTCTTATCCCTAAAACACATCCGTTTTGAAACATGTGATTAGACTATACTGCGCCAATACCACTCCTGTCATAGATCCTGATGACTTTAATATCCATGTAGATCATCCTTCTAACACTCTGGTCTCTCAGTTCTTTGCTCCTTGGGTAATCTTGTCGTCTGCCCCTACTTCACCCACTCATTCCCTTGGTTATAATTTAGACCTACAGCTGCTTCATATCCCAGTCTCAAACATTCCACTCTCCTGCCATTACCTCCTGTCTTTCCAGTTCATTCCCTTTAGTGCACTGAATCCAGCACTTCCTCCCCTCTCTAGGACCTACGATGAATCCATTGGTCTTCCTTCTTTTCCACTGCCATCATCCCCTACATGTCTTCATTCCCCTCTTCAGCTAAATTCCAGTCGCAAGCATTTCATTGCAAATTATCTCCCTTGCCTCTCTTGCTTTTGTCATACTCAGCTCTTCACCTACTTTATGCCTAGACCCATGCAGCAGAAAGGGCTAGCAAAAAACAGCCAGGCTGACTTGTCTTTAAATTCATCGCCATGAAACTTAAGTGGTCCTTTATGCTCCCTAGCAATATTCCCTAGTCCTTTCACTTGCCTTCTTTTCTGATAACTGTTTCATAACTTCTGACCCCTCAAATCTCCACCATCTCTCCCCATTCTCACTCTTACTTGGTTCCTATTTCAATGAGAAAATAGAAACAATCAGAAAATGTTCAGGGGCTGGCCCTGTGGCCGAGTGGTTAAGTTTGTGCGCTCTGCTGCACGCGGCCCAGTGTTTCGTTGGTTCGAATCCTGGGCGCGGACATGGCACTGCTCATCAAACCACGCTGAGGCGGCATCCCACATGCCACAACTAGAAGAACCCACAACGAAGCATAAACACCTATGTACTGGGGGCTTTGGGGAGAAAAAGGAAAAGAATAAAATCTTTAAAAAAAAAAAAAGAAAATGTTCATAAGCTCCCACCACTACATCCAACCACCTTCCAGGATTTACAGACATACACTCTGCTTCCTTCTTGTTATTATAAATGAATAGTTCTCAACAGGGCTGATTTTGCTCCCCAGAGGGCATTTGGTTGTCACAACTGGGAGGCTAGTGCTACTGGGTAGAGGCCAGGGATGCTAAAAAACATAAAGCTTAGAACGGTCCCTGACAACAAAGAATTATCTGAGCTCAAGTGTTACTGGTGTCAAGGTTGAGAAACCCTGCTGTAGACAAACTGTCGATGCTTTTGTACAGAAACTTTTGCAGTAGATCCCATCCTCTAGCTTTGAAAGGACATCTCAACGATTCTCCCTTCTTTCCTGTAGAGTCAGAATTTCCCTTTCTCTCCTGGATCTTCCTATCAGCACACAAATATACTATCATTTTCCTGATCTTACAAATATATAAACCTCTCCATCCCGTTTCCCCTTCCAGCTGTTCCCCATTTTTCTGCTCCATTTTATAGCAAAACGTCTTAAAAGAGTTGCCTCTAGTTCTTCTTTACCAAGACTGTCCTTACCACGGTCACCAGTGACTTGCACAAACCTAAATCTAATGGCACGTTCTGCTTCATCTTACATAGGCTATCAGTAGCATTTGACACTCCCTCTTTGAAACATTTTCTTTCCTTGGCTTTAGGACATATTCTCTGGTTTGCCTCCTAGCTTACTGACTGCTCTTTCTTAGTCTCCTTTGCAGGTTTCTCCTCATCTCCACAACCGATTAACTCTCTAGAATTCAATCCTTGGACTGTCTCTACACACATGCCTGCAGTGATTCCATCCAGCCTTATACGTTAAAACCATTTCAGTGTGGATGACTCCCAGTTTTTCAGCTCCAACCTGGATTTCTGTCCTGACTAGCTGCCTGTTGGCATCTGCACTTAGATGCCTAATAGGCATCTCAAATTTAACATATACAAAATTGAACTTAACTTTCTCCCCAGCTTACTGCTACAGTCCTATTTCAGTTCATGACAACGCTATCCTTCTAGTTGTTCATATCAAAGCACCTCGGTATTATCTTTGACAGCTCTCTTTCATCTCTTCCAATTTATGAAATCACATTGACTTTACCTTCAGAATATATCCAGAGTCCCTTCTCACTTCCACTACTGCCACCTGAGACCAAGCCAGAATTATCTATTTGCAAGATTATTACAGTAGCTGGTCTTTCTGCTTCCACCACTGCCCATGTATAGTCAGTTCTCAACCCAGCAGCCAGAATGAATAGTGTTAAGATGGAAGCCAGATTATGTCACTCTTCTGCTCAAAATCCTGCTTTTTCCTATATCAGAGTGAACACTAGAGCTCTTTAAAGGTCTGTGAGACTCTCCATGATCCGCCCCACCCTGTCCCACTTACTGCTTTGACCTCATTTTCTGCAACTCACCTTGTTCACTCTGCTCTAGCAACACTGGCCTTTTTGTTTGTCCTTAAACAGTGAAGGGGTGCCGACCCCTCAGGGTCTTTATAATTGTCGCTCCCTCTCCTTGGAAGGCTCTTCCCTCTGGTATAGCTCACTCCATCAGGGTCTTTAAGTCTTTGTTCAACTTTTTTTCTCTTTAATGAGGCCTTCCTGACAACCCTACTTAAAATTGCATTCCCCCAGCACTTTCTAGGCCCTTTCTCTGTTTTATTTCTCTTTATTGCACTTAACACCTAATGTAATAGTTTTATTTATTAGTGTTCACTCCCATTGGAATATAAACTGCACACGAGGAGGAGATTTTTCTTGTGTTTTGTTCATTGCCATATCCTCTCCCAGTACTTAGAATAGTCTTGCACATAGTAGACATTCAATTAGTGTTTGCTGAATGATGAATAAATTGCTGGTGAAGTAAACCAAAAAGATAGTCAAAGAACTATACTGTAAGACTTGGGCCAAAAAATAATTGGAATTATATGAGCTTGGGAAAAGAATAGGTTTCTGACATCTTATTAAGTAGAAAGTGGCAATAAACACTTTTCATTTACAAAAGATAGACACCTAAATGGGTTGAAAATGTGGGAAGACATGGAGGTTTAAAGTCAGAAACTATGGGATGGAAGATAGAAAGAAGATAAAGTCTGGGCCTGGCCCCATGGCTGAGTGGTTAAGTTCACACGCTCTGCTTCGGCGGCCCAGGGTTTTGCTGGTTCGGATCCTGGGCTCGGATATGGCACTGCTCATCAGGCCATGCTGAGGCGGCATCCCACATACCACAACTAGAAGGACCCACAACTAAAATTATACAACTGTACCGGGAGGCTTTGGGGAAAAAAAGGAACAATAAAACCTTAAAAAAAAAAAAAAAAAGAAGATAAAGTCCTCTCCTTGAATATATTTGAGAACAGGAATGATCTCTGTTTAAGCTTGGAGAGTTAATTTTATAAATGGGCAGCAAGTATGTGATTACACATTAGCCTCAGGTTTTCATTTGTAACTTTTTATTAATATTAAGGGGTGGAATGGATCTTGGAGGGAGGACCTTCTGTAGCACTGTAGCCCCAGTTCATATTGCTTAGTAGGGGAGTTCTCTCCTCAGGGAGCTTTGGGCTCTTGCTTAAGGCTGAACAAGGATAGCCTCAAAGTTTATGTAGCCAAGAGACATAACTCCTTGAGTCCTAAATTGTGGACTCCTGCTCCTAGCTCAGTCTCTCCTAAGTCTCTTACTGGCAGTACGTGGTCAGCAAGTCCTGCTGTTTTCCATGAATGAAGGCAATGGGGGATGTGAGGCCCCTGGACAGCATCTCCAGCCAGGTCATGTAGAGGGCCCCAGGGCAGGCTGACCGAGGGATCAGAGGTAGGCTCCTGTTGTGGAAGGCAGTGTGAGGGATAGAACCTGTTCCTCAGCTTATCTAGTCATCAGACTAGACCTTTCCCTGGGATCTACACCCCTGCAGTTTGGAATTCTCCCAGACTCACATGACTATGAGGGCAGCGTCCTGGGAATATTGCCGTAGGACTTCATGAAGACACATGTGCCACTCCGACTACGTGGTTAGGAAGAACAAGCAGAGGACAAGGTGGGTGCCGTTATCAGTTCCTACTCTGGGACAATTGTCCCACTGCTGGCCCTGTTCCTATATACCTGCTTTTGGTTCGCCTGCAGGTCCTGCTCAGAGATGTAGCCTGAAGGAGCAGGAGTATTGAGAGAGGTAGATTCCAGGTTCCCCTTTGGTGGTGGCTTCTGCAACCAGTGTAAGGCCACCAAGTCTTCGA